GGAGGAGAAGACACAAAGCCTGACCCACACGGCACCCGGAGCAGCGCCCGCAGCAGCCGCCGGCCAGAGCACTCCCGGCCGCCCCGGGCCCAGCCGCAGCCCCGGCCCCAACCTGGGCCCTGACAGACGCCTCCGGCCGGCCCGGGCCGCCGGTACCCCCCCAGAGCCCCACCGGGCCGCGCCAGGCCCACAGCCGGCAGCTCCGGCGGGCCGCGGCGGCGGCGGGGCGGCGCTGAGGGGAGGGCGGCGAGCGCGGCCGGCCCCGGCGGGCTCCCCCTGTCCCTCCCGGCCCCGCTCACCTGCTTTCTCGATCTTGCCGGACATGTCGGAGCCGGGCTCGGCGCTCAGGCCCTGCCGCGCAGGTAGCCGGCTGAGCGGCCCGCGGGGCTTTGCCAGCCGCCGCCGCCTCCCGCCTGCTGCCGGCCGCGATCCGGGGCGAGGCGCTGCGGCGGCGGCGGGCTGCGGGGCTCGGCGGGGCTCTGGGGCTCCGGCGGCGGCAGCGCCCGCCCCCCGCCCGCTGCGCCGGGCCGCGAGGGGAAGAGGCGGCCCGGGGGCTCCCGCCGCACACGCGCCGCCCCGGGCCGCAGCGCCCCCTGCCGGCCGCCGCCACAGCGCGTCGGGCGGGGCCAGCAGCGAGCCCTGCCCGGGACCGACGGCGCCGGGCGCGTTGGCAGGGGCCGGGCAGCGCCTTCAGGGCAGCCCTCGGTGCTGTCAGCGCGGCGGGACGGGGGAGGCCATGGAGCCCCGGGCCCAGAGGGCTGCTGCGGGCCCCGCTCCGCTGGCCGGGCCTCCACTGAGGGGTGGGGGAAACCTGAAAGAAGGAGGCGGCCCTGGGGGTGGTTTCCGTCTCAAAATGCGATGCCCTGGGCGGGGGTTTGGGCAGGGCAGGGACCCGTCGGTCTGCGCTGCCCTTCAGGCACCCTCCAGGCCTCCAAGGCGCGCTGCGTTCACCCAAATAGGCTGTAAAGGCAGAACGTTTCTCTTGGAATGCTCCTGGGCAGCTAAATTACTGCTAACCAAAGGGAAATGAAGGTGGGATTGCTCAAACCCTGACACAGTTATCGCCTCCAACGGGCACAGAGCATCCTCACAGCATCCTATCAAACACCTCACACCCAGGAGCATTGACCAGTGTAAACCTAGGCTGCCCCGCTCCGCTGCTGGAATTCCCACAGGAGATCATTGGGATTCAGCTTCCAGACACCAACAGCTCCGTCCTGGCCCCGCTGACCTCAGCGCTCGGTTTAGTTTGAGCCTAGGAAGCAGCGGCAGCTCCCGGCGGAGAAGCGAGTTCCCTCCAGCAGGATGACAGCAGAGCCAGGGGGATAACCCTGGGCAACAGTAAATAGATGATGGGCCTATTTGAGAACTGACTCATTTCTATGACTTAATTAAGGACAAACTTCACGGTAACACCTTGACTTGCAGGTAATGCCCTGCGCTGTGCACCAATAAAGCTCTGAAGCCTGGTGAGCCGTCAGCGGCTGTTTACTTCCTCCTGAACAGAATAAATCATTCACGAGGCTGCTGTATTTTTCGGAAGCTTTACACACAACTTTTAAACAAGCTGACTTCATCAACTTGTTTAAACATCTCGCACACCTGGGGCTGGGCACAAGCCGCAGGAGGAAGTCTCCAACAGGGAGAAGTATGCTCTCATTAATGGTGCTTTGGAGAGGCTTTGTGGAGAGCTCCTGAGTGTATTTTCTTAATAAATCTAAACCCAAAAAAAAGAAGATTTAGGGGCAGATTTTCCTCTTGCTGACACAGATGTAAAGGGTGGCTGTCTTGAAGCCACGCTGAGCTGTGCTGACTCACTCGTATTAGTGAGTGATAGTAACTAGGAACCGTAGTGGGTGATGCTAATGCAAGCAGACCCGACTGCGAGTACACACAGGAAGCAGACAGATGAAGTAAGAAGCTGCTATTCTTACACCCTCTGCTTTCAGTCTTGAGCAAGGAAGAAGGAGCGTGTGTGCAATAACGTGCGATACGAACAGAACAGCTACTAAATTGGAAGGTCTTTTCATAGTCTCTGTTATAAAAAGCCCCATTCTGCCCATGATGTATTATTGCCTCCGGGGGATGCTGGAGTTTCTCTTGAGTTTTCTGCATTAACATGTAACTCACGCCGCCGGGAAAACCTGATGCTTCTAAATATCCCATTGAGTTGGCTGAGGAAAACCACCCCAGAGCTGACTGTGTTGGTGTGAGTGTGTTGTTATGGACAGAGTTGGGGCCAGGAGAGCTGTGAATGGCTTTCTATGCCACTACAGAGCAGCACAAGATGCTGCGGAGATGCTGGAACTGAATGAACTTAAGGTCCTTTCCAACCCAAACTATTCTATGATATTTCTTGCTGCAGGCTGGGGAGAGAGGAAGGAGGAGGACTGTAACTGTTACCTTCAAATGGGAGCAATACTGAAGCATCCTGCAATGGGCCAGTTTTTCAGGTGCTGGTGCTACATCAGGAAAAGAAGATTATGTTGTGTCTTTGTACCAGTGTGGATACCTGCTTTGATGAGAGTGCAGTGCTAAAGGTCACCTTGCAGCAAGAGGGTTCTGACAAGAGGGTTCTGACAAGTGGAGCCTCCTTCCCCAGATGTTCCTTCACTGGAAGAAACTACCTGACCACAAACCTCTGCAGATGGTCGGTCTCCACATGCAAACCCGTCCGATGTAGTCTGCTTCATCCTTGGTCAACTATGCCACCAGCAGCTAGGGAAGGGCCAACAGACAGAAACTGCAGCCCCGCAGGGTGATCTCCTGCACCGAGCCACTGGGCTTTACAGCTGACCCACTGACCAGGGGAATTGTGCAAGAAACGCCAGCAGATAAGAGACCTGCGCTTAGAGAAGAGCTCTCCTGCCCTCTAGTGCTCTTCCCCTCTCCGGGCAGCTTCCTCCTACCCCAGCCCCTGCTCTCCTCCGGCTTATGGGGCCAGGGCTGCGGTGATGCAGTGTCTGTTCCTGTAGAAATGCGAGCAGAGAGCGGCTGTTCACCCCAAACACAGCTGTCCAAGTGGGTTTCAGTAGCAGGGAATACTGGGATTACATGGGGAAATGCATTTTAGCCAACTGCCTTCTCACGTGGTGCCTTCTAAACCAGCGCCGGCCTTGATAACATTGCTGCTCAGTGTGGTTAAGACACAACCAGCTCTCTGTAAAGACCTTATTCAATACTGACAGGGATCCCCAAGCGACAGGTACACCACAGCGACCCAATGTGTTCCTGCTACCGCACACGCTCAGCCCTCAGGGTGGAAAGCTTTGCAACTGGGAAGAGGTAGAAAAAAGATGGGGTGGAAGCAACTAAAGGAAAGGGTCAAGATTCTCACCTCCTGTTAATGGATGCAACTCCTCTGAGGTCTTCAGTGGAGGCAAATATAGTAGTGAGGTGCCAGTATGTGGGGGAGAAGGGGAGTTGTTCAGGGAAGGAGAAGATGGCATCACTGCAGGGAACAGGCTCTGGGTGAGAGACCCAGAGGAGCAATGCAGAAGGGGACAGAGCTGGGAGCTGAAGTAGGTGAGGGCAGAGCTTCTATATCAGTCCCCTGGGGAACGAATATGTATATATATACATGATGCAGGCTGCATCAAACTTCATATGAGCAAAAGAGCACCAATGGGAGACCTTGATCTTGGGTACATCCCCATTTTCCACCTCCTCGAGGCAGCCCCCGTGTTTCGCAGGGTTCCTCATACCTGGCTGGTGGTCCCACTGTGGGCAGACCCTGTGTTTTTTGGCTGAGCCGCACTGACACATGATTGACAGGGCTTTGTAACTGCTTTTTCCTTTAAAAAAATGAAGTTTGGGTGCTGACTCTAGAGGGCAGCATATGCCGGCACATGGGGATGGGGGAGTGGGGGGCCGCCGAGCTGAGCCCCCCCTTGCACCCAAGCAAAGTCTCCGCTACAAGGAGAAAGAAGAAAATCCCGGCTCTGGTCATCCAGAGGAAGCAGCCCTGAGGATGCTCCCCAAAGGCCACGCTGTTCTCTGAGCATCCAGGCATAGAAAAGGGGGATCAGGACACAGGGAGAGTGGATTTATCCCTGTCTGCAGGTCGGACATCCCAACCTTGGAAAAACCTTAGAACCTGTCACTTCCCTGCTTGGCCAAAACTGAACATGGAAAGGCAAATCCTCTCGCACTGCTTCCCATGAGCTAAGGCACATGAGTCCCTGTCCCGGACTCATCTCTGTCCTCAAAGACCAACAGATCCTTTGGCTGCTTGAAATGTGTCCCTCACCGTTTCAGGGCTCCCCATCTGTAAAGCATAGCCAGTCTCACAGGCAGGAGGGCAGAGACCCTACAATGGCCAGGTCACTGGGGCCGGGTGGCTTAATAAAAGATAAAGTTGTACTTTCAGATCTGTTACAGTTTTTTAGTGTCCCTCTCTTAGTCTTTTATGAAAGGAAGTAAATAGGAAAGCGTTTTTTGGCCTCACAGTACTACAGGAGGATGAGGTGGGTGGAGAGGAAGGCTGAGAAGAACTCCAGGCCCTAGGATTATTAAAAAGAAAAACACACAGAGAGAGATTAACAACTTTTGACAACTCCCTTGTACATTTAAAGTAATTAGAAAGGCGAGTGTGGAAGGAGAAAAGGCTATTAAGGTTCTTTCTCTGGCCTAACCTTATCCCTCTACTGGGGACTACATTTCACAGTGGAAAAATGAAGCACGTGAATCACCACAAAAATACATATTGGCTAACACTGAAGGGAGAGGCTAACAAGCTATTTGGTACCCCGAGGTGTTTCTGTCAGCACTTCCCTGGTGGTCTGATGTCCTCTCACCTCACCACATGTGGAGGTTCACATCAATAGCTCATGGAGACCCGAGGAGTTTCACATCTAGACCTGCTTCATTGCAGTGCAGCTCACATCCAGCTCCATGAAGGACCTCCTGGAAAGGGAGACAAGCCACCACATAGCCTGAGGGTGTTCAGGAAGGTAAGGATGGAGGGTCCCATTCAGAGTGCCAGAAGCAAACCCAGCCCATACACAAGTGCTCTTTAAAACCTTGCTTTTCTTCCAGGTCCTTTTCCATGGATAAATGACCCTTTCTTCTTCACACTACAGAGCAAGCAGAAGCTGAAGGTGACCCAAGTCACTCCCTACAGGAAAGACTGAAACTAAAATGAACCCAAAAAGAAAATCAAAATCAATATTCCAAAGTCAAACAATAAAACCTGTGTTATGGAAACAGAGGTCACCCAAAGAATAATGTAATTAGATGTGACAGCCCAAATTTCCTCTCTCTGCTAATCCCAAGCAGGGAGACCTTGTGCCCAAGCCAGAGTGTCACCTGCCCATTTAACTGAAGGATCATACAGTTCATACAGCTCACAGCAGGTGCACATAACTGGAAGGATGTGGAAAGAGAAACCCGAGGGAGCTGGATGAAATGCAGAGGGTCATGGTTTGAAACAGTGAAGGCACAGAGAACATGCATGGGAGAGAGGGAACATGTTTGCTTGTGGAAAGGCATCACCTCCAGTGTAGAAAGCTATCTTGGGGTGGGCAGGCCTCTCTGTGCCTCAGTTTCCCCTTTGGTAGAAAGGCCCTTTCACCTTTGCAATTAGACAAGACAGACACAGACTCCTCTAGACCTCATCATAAGAACAGCAGCCAGTGTGAAGATGAAAACAGTGATCCTCACCCAGCCTTTCTGAGGTCCCTCTCAGAAGCGTGTGGGCTGATGTGCTGCAATGTCTCGTGTGAGTATCTAGTTTGGCTCTTCCATCCCTGAAGGAGGGACTGTGCCACCCCATTCTGCTTCCATTACTCTTGCATACACTGCAGGCAGCATTGTAAATGTGGGGCACGTAGCTCTGATAATGATGCGAACTTCAAACCATTATTTCTCAGCCCAGAGCGCTTCTCCTCGCTGTCAAGCCACTGCTGATGGGTTGTTTAGTGTAGTTTTTTCCTCCTACCATTTTTTCCTCTTTTTTTTTTTTTTCAAACTTGACCTCTTGATTCTGCCTGGGAATTTAGGTTGGATTCTTTTTATTATTGCTTTTTATTATTATTATATTTTTGCACAAAGTTAGCAGCAGGGAGATAAAACTTCCCGTGAAGCCCATTTGCCAGCAACACTTTCTTTAGCAGAACAGACAATAGGAAAGCAAAACTAATGCTCTGGCTGGACACAACATTTCCAGCACCATGGTGACCCCCCCACTGCTGGCCCAAACCTTCAGCTCCATGGAACACCGATTTCCTTGTCAGCTGTGTGCCTGCCTACCTGGGCTGAGGGGTCCCACCGCAGGAGCTGGAACTTCTCCATTCTTTGGGAGCCTCATGTCAGCAATTGCCTCTTCAATGGCTGTTACCAGCTTGTTGTTTTGCTGCTTTTTGGTGCTTTTTGCTGCTGAGGTTCCCTGCAGGCTGGGGTGTTCGGGGAATGCCTCCTGTGTATTTAAAGGTGGCTGGATTTAATGAAAGAATAAGGAGTGTAAGTAAGACGTGTGGTGTGATGGAAGAGTCAGAGCCCTGTCTCCATTAACCAAGAAAGCTCCATGGCACTCAGGAGAAGGCACAAAGTTCACAAAACTCAATCCTCTCCCCATCTGTCTCTGCACATCTAACTGGAGTGCCTCCAAGCAGCCCAAGAAGCTGCGATCAGCCCCAGCCTCTAGGCTGGCCTGTGTCCACTGGGCTGGGGTACTGAGTGGTGGTGTGGTCCACCAGAGAGCAGATGGATGGGTACACCCAGCCTGGGTGCTCCTACATCTCTTGCCTAGAAGAAGAGGCACGGATGAGCTCCTCTGCTAGAACAGCCCCTGCAGGTCATTCAACCTCCGTTACTATTACCATGGGATCAAAGCCTATTTCCTCCCCACCTTAAAGGTGGACACAGTTTAGCTCCATTTCTGATAAAACCCAGCTGTGGTCTGGATGGCATAAAACCCAGTTTGCAGCACATTTCAGATGGACATTAAGACTCATTTCCTTGCGGCTGTGATAGGAAGAAAATAAACCTCTCACTAGCAGCCCCCCTCAGCAAGCTGGAAAAGCAGTAAAAGCCAAACTCCAAGTTGAAGGAGACCCAAGGGATAAAAATCAAGGAATCAGTCACCTTTCAAGAACAAAACACATGAACTGATTCAACTAAAAAAGAATCAAGGTGAGCAGGACAAGAAGGGACATCCTCTTTACCTCCTAAGACACCTCAACTGCAGGACACACAGTGCAGGCAGTGGGGAGTGCAGCCTGCCACCACCTGTGCTTGAAAGATCGCCCAATGACCCCAAAATTGGGGTACCTCCCCAGTTAAACGGGAGCCTATGCCCTGCCTTCATCCCTCGCCATGGGTCTGGATTTTGCTGCTGAGGCAATGGATGTGTTGGGAGAGAGCTGGAGCTCAGTGGAGATTGGGTGGGAGTAAGATGAGGAAGGGGAATGTGATTGCTCTCTGTTATGTGGGGATGCTTCTAAGACACCATGCGGAGGAGCAGCATCACTTCTGTGTCCAGAGGGTTCAGACAGGCTCTGGACTGCACAGCAGCAAAATCGGGGTGGGGGGAACCACTTCAAAAATAGCTATCTGAGTGCCAGTGACGGCTAAGCAATGTTAAGGAGAACTCAAAAATAGAGCAGGGCAGCACGACTGTGGATCTCAACTACTGTGACAACTCCTATGCAAGCACAAAGAGAAAAACACAGGTCCTGCTGGTGCATGGGGTTTGCTCTCAGGGAAGCAGGCTGGGTATTGCTGCAGGCAGATCCATGAGCATGCAATGCAGTGGGCAAAAACAGCCCCTTCCCCAAAACCAGTGGGTTTGGGCAATGCAGAGAGAGGTAGCAAACCTGCAGACATTGTTGTGACTTTATAAACTTCACCTTGAGCAGGAGCCCGCCCTCATCACCCCATCATCTCAGCAAAGATAGGGCAGAAATGGAAAAGATCCAAAGAAGTGCAACAAATAGTATCAATAATCCATGAGAAGAGATTAAAAAGATTTAGGGCTGTTTAATTTAAGAAGAGGAGGGATGGGATAGAGGTGAAGATAAAGAGCGCATGGCAGAGGCATACAGAGCAATGGCTAATGTAGAAGAGGTGCCTGGGAGCACAAATTTGCCCCTGCAGCACTCAAACAGGAGATATTCAATGTGATTAGAGGACGATACCTTCAAACGAAGAGGACCAGAACTGCAGGACTCCCTGCCATGGGGTTTTGTGGGAATGTGATGTTCAGCAGGATCCACAATGCCGGTGGGCATAAACCGCACTAACACTGGGGTTTGCCAGGATTCAATTGAGGAAGATAGAAATTGTTCTGCCCTGGATTTTGTACCTTCAAGGTCTCCTGCACAGTCTTTACTGAAGGCAGGACAGTGAGGTGGGGAAACAAACTTGCAGGGGTAATTCCTACCCCTCCAACAGCTTCACGTTAAATAGCCTGAGGACAGGCCCAAGCTACTGATGGGGAAACAGGAGCTGGATTTCAGCATCTGCTTGGAAAAGATACCATAAGCGTCCTTGGAGGACTTGGCCATGAGATGAGAGAAATACATTTGAGGACCTATATAAAAAGCAACAGTGAATAATAGTACTTGGCATCTACAGCATGTGCCCTTCATCTCCGGATCTCAAAATGAGTGTCTGTGCATTGAGAAACTGAGGCACAATGAAACACAGGCACATGAGCAGCACGTCATCCAAGAGCCCATGGCTCCTGCACACGTGCAATGCACTGACAGCTTTCCCTCCCTAGAGCTGCACATCTACTTGGCAGCAAGTTATGTGAATGTGAGTGCTACAGGAAAAGGAAAGCAGGTTATAAGTTGAGGGTCAGGATGGCTGCTCGAGGAGGGCTCAGGGATGGAGGGAAGGGTGCTGGCATGCTGAGGGCTCCTGCAGCATCAGCTGCATTGGCCTGTCCCACTGCCCTGCAGCCAACAGCATCCCCAGGGCAATGCTGGCAATGGGGTCTGCAGCCAAACCAGCTCAGACACCTCCTGCATAGGAGGTGGAAGGTGATACCAGTGGGAGAAGGGATAGGTCATGCCTGGATCAGGATGATGCGATAACAGCAGTGAGGACCACCTGCTCCACCTGGTCTATGCAGAGGGTTTTGCTGTAAGAGGCCAAGTAAAAGGATTAGACAGGAGCCTCTCAGGAGGCTGATGACATTTAGAAAGTATTAATCCCTGCAGTGTGCCTCTCGCCAGTGTGTTTGATAGTGGCTCTGTGCCGGCTGCTGTGGTCTCTCACCTTTATGCTGCTCAGGAGTGGTTTTGCTTCAGGGACTTGCTGCATATTGTTTTCCCCTAGTCCCTTTTGCTGTAGGAATTCCCCTCCTGTCCCACAGCCTGTTTCTCCTCGTGGATTCACTGTGTGGCTTGCTTTGATCATCTGCTCCCTCCCTCCTACCCCAGGTCCCCAGCCACAATCCCCAGTGCCACCTCAACCCTATTTCATCCTTAAACGAGGCTTAAAAGACTCTTTAAGGGGGTAATAGGGGAGAAACAAATATTCTTCCTCCATACATAGGCTATCACCCTGAGCAACAGCCCAGCCCGGAGGCACTCGGCTGTGCTGGGACTCAGGGAGCATCACACAATGTGACACCCCTGTGACAACTTCTGTTGCTCGGCCACCCTCAGGGAAGAGAAAATGAGCAACTGCAGCTTTAAACCAAAGATTAGATGCAATTTCTCCCCCCCCTCCTCTCTCCCTCCCTTTCCCTCTCCTCTTTTAAAGGGAACTTGTCAAGGTTTCCATCAATAATAGATAATGGTGCATCACTCTGGCAGGTTACACCCTCCGGCTGTTTTGATATTTTCCAGAGAATTTGTCAGCAATCTTACAGCAAAGGAGGGCTGGGGGGTGGGGGGGAGAGGCCTCATTAATTTTTTGTCATTTGCATTCCCACTGTTAAATAATGTATTGATTGCTCTTTCTCTCTCTCCCTCTTTAATTCTCTCTCTTCTGCGGCGTCTCGCAGCCGATGGCCCTCACTCTGTGACAGATGAGTTTGTCAGAGGCACCAGACAGCTCGAGCTCCCCAGGACAGGGCTCAATGTGACCCCGGTGCTGGCTCCAGCATCATCACCCAAGTCACAGCTACAGTGGCACCAGCTCTTCATAGGGGGACACTAAGGGCTCCCTCAAACCAGTTGCTAAGACACCCCAATCCAAGACTTGGTGATTCACCTCCATACGCAGCTCCTGCAGTTTGGGAGGTCAAGAACAGCACATATCATCATGGGTATCATCAAAGGAGGAATTGCCAACTTGGAGGAATGACAGTGATGTACAGCAAGAAGGAGCCACTACAAAAGCCAACATGGGCAGCTCTTACCTTGGAAGGGCAGGATTATGGAAATGCTGAAGGGATTTTGCTCCTTCTAACTTCACCAGGAATGTCCTTTCCCATCCTTTTGAGAGACCTGAGCCCGAGGCCCTGGGAAGCCAGCTACCAGGTCCGTTGAATTGCAGCTGAGCTAAACAAGAATCTGCACATGATTAGGGCTTTGCTCAGCTTAATGCGGCTTGGCTTCCTTTTTAATTAATAAATACTTAATTACATAGTTAATATTTTAATATTTCCTTTTAAAAACATCTGATTTAATGGAGTTACTGCCAGCTATTTGTTTTGTGTGACTTTTATGTTGATCTTCCTCTTTCATTTCTCCTTTTGCCCTCCACCCACTGCTCTAATCCCCGAAGCTCCCAGCTGATTTTTGTTACCGGATATTGGCAGCCGGGCTTTCAGCTGAAATGGAATCTGGTCTTTGGTACTGACATCCATCAGCCAGAGGTGCTAATGTGAGTTATTAGCACTTGGGTACTTCCCTGCATATATACCAACCCCTGGGGAGGGGAGGTGAGATGATAGTGCTGCAGGTGGGGAGGTGATGAGCAAGTACAGTGCTGGGGTTATCCCCAGTGGCATCCCCAAAGATGGGGAGAACCCTGAGCCTGTGTTTTCCTTCCAGCCAAACCCTACCCACATGCACAGCCTCTTTCAGGAGCAGCACACCTCCAACAAGGTGAGGATGGAGAAGGACCCCAAGCAATGAGGATGAAGAGAAGATGGATGTGACCTCTTAGAAGCTCCCCACCTCCTCTCCTAAGCCTTTGGCTGTTGTTCCAGGGTGGTGCCCACCCTCCACACAGGCATGTGGATGCATTGAGAAAGGCACTGAGTTTAAGCAGCTATGGCTTCCTATACCCATCCCCTTCCCAGGCAGCTTCATAGCATCATTCCTATGGTGGGTGTGTGCCTCACCTGGGTGAGATATCTCCTCCAGCTTCTCCAGGGACTCATATGATGTTTTCACAGTAATCTCTATGAGCAGCCTGTTGGGATAATAAAACAAATAAACAGAAGAGTTATAGCCAAGGCACTCGGGGCACCATAAAACAGGCTAAAAGCAAATACAGCGTCGTTAATCCATCATAAAATAACAGCCTCTTACGATCCCGAATGCATCAAAATGAACAGGAGAGCATCAGGGTCGCAATTCAAGCAGGGATGTGTTGAATGTGAAGTAGGGCTGTAAGCAGCGGGGTGGAAACAAACACCAACCTGCTGGGTACCTGGTAAATCAGGACTCCAGGAACACAGACCTTCCTGCCCACTGCGGTTTAAACCCAGTAACACCAGTTCAGGCCAGGAAGAGAGGTGTGCTACATGCATCATGGTCTCCCTGTTGTCTGAGAATTAGGATATTCCCAGCAGGGATAGCACTAGCAGAGGCCGGACAGCTCAGTACACATCTGCTGATGAGAGACATGAGCACAGCCCTAACTGTGGGGCTGGAGACATCACTGGGGTCCCTTTAGCTAAGCAGAGGGTGACCCAAGTCACCAGCAGGACACGAGCACCGTGGTGCTGTGGGGATGCTGGGTCCTACATCCCTATGGCTATGGCAGAGCCTCACTCTCTGCCAGTGAAGCCAGAGGAGACAGGGCAGCATGTCAGGAAAGGAGGAGATGAAACAAGTCAGGATGGAAACTTAAACAGGACTCTAAAGTGCTCCATCTTCCTCGCTAATGAGGGCTTTGCATGTGTGAGGGCAGGAAAAGATAAGACACCCTGTGCTAATAAAGCCCTGTGACTGGAGGCACCGGCACTAATGAATTCACCAGAGAGTTGGGATTGCTTTGGCAGGTCTAAGGAAACAACAATGAAAACATCAAACCCAGGCACCAGTGCGACATTCCCATGTGCAGCCGATCCCTCTGGTTTGCCCATTGCCTACAGGGCCTAGCTGGGCAATGGGGATGGGGATGGAATGAGCTACCTGAGGGACAGGATGCTCAGGTGCCCCAAGGCCAGGCCCTCACTAGGGAAAACCTGAGCCTTGGGGCCACTAGAGATCAAATGCATGGAGAGGAGAGCAGGGACAGAGCAGGGACAGACAGAGAGCACGTTTGGTTTCAAAGCATTTCATCCATGCCACATGCACAATCAGTGCAGCTGACACGGAGGCATCTTTGGAGAAAACACCCAGCAAGGGCTGGTTGATAACCCTGCAGCCTGAAGATTGTTTTCTGAAAGCAAACATATACAGACAAACATTCAACTATACACCTTAAATATATTAATATATTAGTATGTTTATATTTAACACATTAATATTAAATAATAACCCTAAATATATCGCCCCCATCTATAATATAAGCTGTGGGGCTTAGTCTGGCACCGACAGCAGTGGCTTTGGCAAAGACTATTTTTGGAAGCCTCTCAAATGCCCACTGGGCCCCTGTTTCTCACTGCAGCATCTTTCATTTGAGCAGAGACAGGAAGAAGGAGCTGCTTTGCTGTCTGGGAGCCCCTGGTGCCCGCCTGTCCTCACTGTCACCTCGCTGGGCATTGAGGAGCGGATGGATGCCCCTCAGGGTCCTTTGGTGCCTCTTCTTAATGAGAAACCTCATCTCTAAGTCTTAGATGCCCTTCTGCAGCGTTAGTGGCTCTCACCTGCTTGATCCTGAGAGATTATTTTCTGGTCTCTTAAAAAATAACCTCACCACCTCAAACCCTTCAAGTCCTCTTTCAATTCTTTTCATTTCACCTCCTGTAATTCCTCACCAGCTTAATGACTTGGTAGTAATGAATAGGATGAAAATTAGGGCTTAATAAGTGTTAAGGATAAGACAGTTTTTCTTGCTGATGAATAGAATGCATTGGTGGGAAAGCAGAGGATGGGGAGAGCACAGAGATAACCCCAAAGCTCTTCCTGACCTTGAGAAGGGTGATACTAACACTGGGTTGTAAGTGGTGACAGTGACAGGCTGCAGCAGGCACCAAAGACACATCAGTCCCAAGACAAGGATGCTGGAGGGAAGTGGGAGTGAATGGACATGAGGAGGGGCTGCTGGATGGGAGCTGACAGTGCCCAGCTCAGCACCCCAAACACCCCATTGCTTTCTGGCCAGGGCAAGGACTGAGCCCAGCAAGACAGCAGTAAATCCATCCCCATGTTACTGCTGTAACGTCACCATGCAAAACACTCACCTGCCATTGAGTTTGCCAGCGTGGGGCAAAGCCTTGGCTGGTCACCTCTGCGCTGGTGTTATGCTGGGATCAGAGTCTGGCCATAGATGGCATCAAACTGGTAGAAACACAATATTGCACCCACTGCTTCATTTGCAGGGAGGTGCCTGTGGCTGCTCCCTCTCCGATGCGGTCTTCCCTAGGGCACAGCATGGTACCAGTGGGATGGTGCTGACTCAGCAGAAGCAGTGCTGGCAGGAGATGCTGCTGTGTAACACTGGCAGGAGCTGGAGCAGCCGATGGTTACCAGTACCCGAGCACCACATGCATGAGTGCGATCAGTAGTGTGGGCTGTGTATGTCATCAGGTCAACCCTGGCCTCTACCACAAGCAGAGCTAATGACAAGCCCGCCAGCCGTTCACGCTGCATTAGCTGGCTCTGGATGTAGGCTCTAATTAATGATAATATTGGGATTGACAGATAGATTCGGGCATAAAGGGTGCAGAACTAACTGACCTGCCAGGAAACGTGACCAACACCATTCACAGCACCCTGCTGCACACCCAGCCCCGAAGATGAGGCAACACCATTGGTGAGCCTGAGCACCAGGCACTGGCACGGCCACACTGTGAGCAATACTGATGGCTTCCTAATGGGCACTGAGAGCCTCCCATCCCTGCTGCTGGGTGTGTTATTTGACCAAGCAGCTCCTCAGTCATCACATTTGTGGGACCCCTCATCTGTCCCCTGCTCCCAATCTCTTTTTGGTACCACCAGCACTTTTTCCTACCAGGGATTGGTTTGCTCCTTCTGCTCCCAAGCGCTGTCACTTCAGAGATGCTGGTCATTTCTGAAGTGCATGTCTTCTTCTTTCCATCCTTATTTTGCTTCCCTTGGAGTAACTGGACACAAGTGAGAATACTGGGTCCAAGCCCCTGTTTACTTATCTGCAGAGGGCTCTGAATGCAGCCTGGGTTCATTTGGGGCTGTTTTGGAGAGAGGGTTTACAGCCCAAAGCAAAAGCTGCAATCTCAATACCACTGATGAACCCAGCGAGCCTGCGATGTGGCAATGCTGGCAATGGGGCTGAGGAATGAGTCCAGGTTGGCTGAGTGAGGCTGTGCCAACAAGGGTGCACCACCATGAGCCCATGGAGGAGCAGTCTGGGTTCAGTGCAAGAGCATTTCCCATTAAAGGACGAGGCTGGATGCACATCTGTACACCCACACTGGGACCAGGCGACATGGCACACATGCAACTTTAATTCCAGCCATTCCAGATGCAACGAGACACTGAAACCCAGCAACTGTAAAGCATGAGCAGGGTTTACAGGCAGCAGAGCTGCCCTCCCATCACCTCCTCCAGGTACTGAGGGGAGGCTTCAGGCAACACAGTGGGATTTTAATTCCCCTTTGCATGGAAGAATTCCCCTTTCCCAGTACAAGAAAGAACTAGACATGGGCTTTCCCGCTGGGGTCACCTGAGCAGCTGAAGTCCTCAGCCAAGGGTGATGCAGGTGATAAGAAACCTCATACAGGCTAAGGAGGAGAGTGGATGAGTAGCTCAAAATGATAGGGGCAAACTACACCAGGCTCAGGAAATTCCCTAAGCCAAAACCAGTTGACTAAAAAAGCTATTAGAGGGGTCAAACACACAGTATTATGGAGGATCAACCACCGTGGCCCATTCCTGCTCTCTCTTGTACATTGTTTATAGCTACAAGGGGAGACAGGAGACCTGGAAAATCACTGAAATCCACTGTTTTGTAGCAGGCACCTCCAGCAAATCCCACTGGGGATGAGCACTAGAGAGTAGGAAACTACACTATAGAAGAGGCTTTGCTACTCACCTTCATGTCTGTGTAGCAGAGCCCATCCTGGAGCTCTTCCCATTGCTTGACACGCAGCGGTGCAGACGGTGGTGGTGTGAAAGCTTCTGCAAGCTCCATGCTGGCAAAGGTGCCCCTGTGGCAGGGAGGGTTGGGACCTTGTTAATGGCTCAAAGAGGAGCAGGGAGGAGCCTTCCCCCTCCCCTGGGGTCTGGGTGCTGCAGCATCCTCATCCCTTCCACCTGGACCAGACCCAACCAGCCCACTACTGCCAATGAGCTTTAATGCATGACCAGAAAGCAGCACTGGGACTCAAAAGGATGCTCCAAGCCCCAAACCCTCTTTGTCAATTTATATTTAAAATATGTATATTTTTTATTATAAGCCTTATAAATCTCCTCCAAGTCCGGCAAGTGTCTTCAAAGGGCCCCTCCACATTGAAAACAGATGCTGCTCCTGCAGAGCCCAAGATCAGGTATTCCTGCAGTGGGAATCAATCGCCCGATTAGGGAGAATTGATTGCCCTGGCCTCATTAGTATATCGTTAGTGCTGACCCCATGGCTGGCCCTGCTCAAACAGGCTGTGACTTGGATGGATTAAAAGGTTCCATGCACCAAAGAGGGATGGGAAATCACTAAACAGGAGAGGGGGAGGCAAACCCCCTGTCAATAGCATCCACCTTGTTACCCACTGAGGCTTCAAGTGCTCAACACCCTGGGAGCATCCCAGGGGATGCAGCTCCTGGGGCGTGTGGCAGGATGCTCCATGGGGACCCTGGAGGGTTTCTTCGGGAGCTCCAGCCCTTGTGAATGTTGACTAATGGGTTTTTTTTTAGTGCTGTGAGTCAGGAGCCCCATATAGGGCCTCCATCTGCTCCGTGTGAGGCCTTGCCAGACTGTGTTTTAGGCCCCCATCCAAATAAAGCTGAAGAAGCAGTTGGGTTTGATTTGTTGGGGTTGTTTTTATCTTGCTCAGTTGTGCACACAAAAGAAGGGGAGAGGAGCCCGGGCTGTTCCCAAGGCCCCATCCCAGCCTCA